TCCCCCTCTCCCTCTCTCATGGGTTCGAGTTATTTAACCTTTAACATTAATGGGTTAATTCAAAGATACGGTCTCCTATTTAAACTAAAAGATCTACATAAATCCATTATTCGATCCACTAATCGACCCAATAAACATGTGTATAAGAATGAATTCAAAATCCTCCAATATGGTCCTCCATATTTATCTTAAGGCAAACTAAGTGCATATACAAATTCACATATGATTAGCTAGTTGCTAAAAGTGCCTGACCATGAATAACTGTGATTTAAGTGCAAATTCACTTTCATAATCACATGTGATTTAAGTGCAAATTCACATATGCATAGCTATTTGTTAAAAGTGGCTGACTATGAATAACGAAAATAAATAAAAAAGAATTCCTATAAATGATGGGTATGTAATATATGTCACTGAATATAGAATTTATAAACTACTGCTGATGCCATCCATGCACAGTACAAAACATCTCATCTAAATTAATACCACTCCAATTATTTCTTTCAATACTTCTCTCCCATCAATCGCCGCCATTTGCGGCGGTACTGGTGGTGGTCGCCGCCGTGACGCCATTGCCATCGTCACATTTCACATCTTCAACAAGCACATTACCATCCAAGAAAGATCTCCCATCTGTCGAATCATCTCCTCCGACTTCTGACGACGATGATGGCGGTGGTGAAGTGACGGTGACGGTGCTGCTACAGCCGACGATCGGCATGGGTTCGGTCACAGTCCGACCATCCCGCGGTGGCGTGAAAACAACCGGCATATACTCCTCCGCCTCCCGTGGAAACTTTGAGTTCTTGAAATGCTCCTTTAACGCCTCTAGACCCTGCCCACATTTTCCAATCACCATGAAAGCTCATAACGAGATACGGGTTTCTTCTAGGGGTTTAGCGTTGGGGTTCGAACGAAGAAATGATATCATATCGATAAAATTAAGGGAAATCCGTAGTATAGCCAATCCGTTAAAAAAAGTTTAACTTGTTAGTCATTTTCAGACCTCATTTCACTTTGAAATCGATCATTAGGCAGAAAGCTTTAGAACATCGTCAACAGATTCTACAAAAATGGAGATTTTGAGGATTTTTACTCCAACAGGTCCCCAAAAACCTTCTCCAAATCATATGGAAGGTGATTTTTTACTTCTCAATTTTGGAGAATCTGTTGGAGATGCTAAGAATGGGTTTTTGGGGTAAAAAAATGTGAATCCTTACGCGGAATCGTTAAGCATATGCGTAACGATTGTTTTTTTTTATACTGAAAATCGATCTTTACGTACACGGCTAACCCTTCTGCGTAATGATTGGTTAAAAAGTGAAGTTGGAGAAATACCTGCAATCTAGCATAAGAAACCTCACAGATTTTCTTGGAGTTGAAAACCTCCCAATTTTGATGGTGGAACGCCGTGTAAAGCCGCCGTGCTGCCTCCGGCGACGTCATGTTCACGAACCCATATCCCACATTGCATTTGTTCCTGAAATTCGTACATAAAATCATAATTTATTGATTTCAATGATTAAATTTCAAGTTTTTTATAATTCCCAGATGAAAACGTACACGAAATCGATGGGAAGATATACGAAATCATAAGACGACGGTGGTTGGTCACCGCCGGCCGCCTCCATCTGCTCATTGCAGTGAATACAGTGGTTGTCCAGCATGTTCAGTAGCAGCTTCTGACTGCAAAAACGCCGGCGAAATCAAATTTCTATTCGTTTTTTTATATAAATTTATGATGAATTCAAGAAAAACCTGTATTTGTTTGGAATATTTTTGATCATCACTGTTGTTCTTGAATCTTGAAAGCTCGAAATCGTCCCGTCTTCTTTGATCAGAAACCTCGGATCGGATTTTTCTCGGCTGTATCTTGATCCCTTAAAGATTTTATTCCGGCCACCGTTGCAACCACCACCACCGCCAACCCATCTCCCTTGTTGTTCCGGCGACTGTGACTGGTTATGCGGCTTAAAGAAACCTTTCCCATTCTTTTTTTGACCACCACCCACAAAATCCACACTATCGCCACCAATCCCGCCATAATCAACCACCCGATCTTTTCCATAATGCGGTGGCGATGGGGGCGGCTGTGGGCGGTAAGGAACGATGGGTGCCGGGAGGAATTTACGGGTGACGTTAATATGCAACGGCGGAACTCCACCGGAATTAATCGGATGAAACTTATTTTGCTTGTAGTTATATTTTTGACCACCACCAAGACGACTGAACTCCACCACCACCACCTTCCCATCGATTTCTTGGCCGTTCACGGCGGCAACGGCCTTCGCTGCGTTACGAGTGTCGTAAAACTCCACAGTTTTTTGGTTCTTCTTCAATGGGGATTCTCTGAATTCCTTAATACACCCTACAAAAAGAATTAAAACCCATAATTTTTATTAAAAAAATATGATTTAATTTTATAAAAAAACCTCAAAAACCAACAAAAATATCAACATCGTCAAGATTTGTATTCAAATAGGTTGAGAAAGCGACCTATCAAATTAACCAAACATCCCCAAATTTTAGCCCCACAAAACTGGCCTACACATTTATGGATATAATTCAAAATCCACCTATTTTTTGAACCACTTTCCATACAAACTCATGAAATCCACATTATAATTTGCAAAAACGATGATAAAATCATAGTGTTTTTTTGGGTTTATATGACTCTAATAATCCCGACAAATTGTGACCGTAAAAAAGGGCATATATCGATAGACTCGGTGGCCATAATTACCATGTACGCCCGGAATAAAACCCTGACAAATAATGAGCCAAAACCCTTGTGGTTGATGCAAAATTGGTGGTTTTTGTCGAAATTTTCCATGGGTTTTACAGATTATGTTTCGATAATGCAAAATGAATATGAATTATTTGAATTTCTAATTACCAAACGATTCAAAAATCTCGGTAAGTTTTCCGATGGAGACGGTGGAATCCAAGTTGAATATAACGACGGTGCCTTGGTTGTAGCCGTCGGGAAGTCCAGCGGCAACAGGAAAAGTGAACTGAGCCCAGATAGCTCGGCCGGAGAGAAGGCCGTGGGCAGGTGGCGGAAGGGGCGGAGAGTGGTGAATATACGGTTCTGGCGGATTCACCGGCGATGATAACATAATTCCGTCGAAATGTTTCCGTAGCCGGAACTGTTGTTGCATGTGTTGTTCCTGAATCTCTTTCAACGCCTCCGCCGCTTGCCGGAGATCGTAAAAATGGACTGTAACGATTCCGTCGCGTAGTCTCTCCATTTGTACGGCTCTCACGTCGCCGAACACCTCTAATTCTCGCCGGACCGTCGATTCGCTGACGTCAGTAGGGACGGAGCTCAAGAGTAGTGCACGAGTCGGTACGGGGGACGGTGGAGGAAGCGTCGGATGTGGACCTGACACCATTACCGCCGCCGCAGACGGCGGCGATGGCGGAAAATTGTAAGGATATGAGTAAAATAAACGTGGGAGTAGTAAATCGCCGTTTTGGGTGTACGGAACAGCTGGTCGGAATTCTTTTGCCGTAGGGTTTAAGGTGATCGGAAACCGGCCAAACCCAGGGTCTCCCATGGCGGCGAAAAGAGGAGGCCACGTCGATTTCCCGGCGGAAGAAGATGAAAAGTGTGGGAAATCAGAAAAGGGGAGACACGAGGCACGATGTGAGCATCAATTCGTCTGTCTATATATGTGTGTGTCTCTTGAAAGGAACAAAAGGAGGTTGAGTTCTTCCATGGTCATTAATGGCGGAAAATCTTTTGCTCTCTATATATTTCCAAAATTGAGAAATAATAAAAGGTACGGTACTATGTATTTTCATGTGAAATTACCTTTTTAGACATTCCTATTTTTTATTTTATGTCAACTAAATCTTCTTTTTTATTTATGTATTTTATTTATTGAAATTAATTTTTTTGTTAAAATTTTCGAAAATATTATTATAATCAATAGAAATAGAAGGGGTATATTTAGGTATATAATCTTAAATTATATTTTTAATAGATTTGATTACTTTTTTATATGTGTATAAGGTTTAAATCAGATATATTTATGTATATAACCTTAAATCAGGTATTTTATGTACATAATTTTAGGTAGATCTTTTTTTAATAACTCATGAAACTGTAATAACATTGAGAATTAGTGGATAATGTGCTATTTCATATGATTTTTTATCTAAAAATGAGAAAATTGACTAAAATAGTCATTTTTTAACTGTAATTGGTCTCTTAGTCATTCATCTCGTTGTTTTACCCAAATGCCACTACGTTAATATGTGGCACCTTCGTAATTTGCGGAGGTGGCTAAAACACAAAAAAAAAAAAAAAAACAATTTCTGTTCAGGGCCGCAAGTGGCATCTCTCCATAATTTGCAGACCTGTATAAAAATTACAAATATGCCACTCGCGACCCTGTGCAAAAATTGTAACTTTTTTGTTTTTTATCTACCTCCGCAAATTATGGAGGTATAACTTGCGGATGTAATGATATTTGGGTAAAATCGAGAGAGAATTGGATATGAGACCAATCAATGTGAGAGAAATGTCATTCCGACCAATTTTTCCTTTAGGATACTGATTATCATATATTTGTTTTACAATGTGAATTTTTTAACAATTTTATAAAACAAAAGTTACAAGTAAAAAATTTCACATTGTGAATCGTGTACATATGAAACAAACACATTATGAAACAAATATATGTTCATTAATACATTAAATGTTAACCTTAATTACGAAAAAAGCATTTGAAAGGATACATTAAAATAAAATTTCTCATAATTATCACAATATATAGAGTTCTCAAATGATTAAGTCTCTATAACCTTAAATCATTTATATTTACGTAGATGTGAGTTATCATGCAACCTTTTATATTTGTACAACCAATACAACTCAATCTCAATAGTCCATTTAATTTGATGAATATATGATTTCATAAGAGTTTTGATTGTTTCCTAATATAAATATTGATCATAATTAACAAGTCATAGTCATCTTCCATAAATATTCAAATCACAATAAATGAACTCTCGTTATTTTCATAAATATCTCAATTGATTGGATTGGATTGGATTGGTTGTACAAATGTGATAAGTTGCATTTGAAACATCCTCTATTTATGTATGTATGTAATTGTTAACAAACTCATTCATTTCCTTTTATAATTTAGAAACTAATAAATAAAGCATTTTCATATTGCATTAAAAATACAATGATTTTTTATAAATATCGTTATTAAATGATATAATGAACAGTGAGATCGAATTAAAGAAACAGAGATTTACAAATCCAACTTGTATTTAAAGTCGGCCTTATGGAAGTGATGCAGTTGTATGCACTACCACTTCACAAATACTATTATCAGTATATGTTAATGAAGTAAGAACAAAAATGGTGAACATGAAATACTGAATCGGGGAAACGAATTAAAAGGAAACGGGTATTTACTGATCCAACATGTATTTAAGATCGGCCTCATCACTAATATCATTTTATGTACAACCACTTCAGATGACTCTAAACTACACATTAAAGAAGTACAAAAAGGGTAAAAATGACAAAAACAGTCTGTAAACAACATTTTGACTTAGATTGATTGCCATGGTTATGGAGAAAACTTCGTCTTGACGACAACGCATGCCGACAAAGATTCCTCCAAGCAATGACTGTGGTGGCCTCGACGATGATACCAGTCAAAGAAAAGTTAAAAGAATCAATGCAAGAACGAGTCAGGTTTCCATGTATCTCAATGAAGCAACCATTATCTCCGATATTTCACGACATAAGCACACGGAAACAAACTAAGTATAAAAGCAAAACAAGTGTCAAATAAAGGGATATATGATACACAGAATAAACCATTCGTCACTTGCCCTCTTTGACTAGAAGTTAATTGTAATTTATCGTCGCCATTTCACTGTACACGGCAATGTCGCAAACTTTATTTTCGACTAGCGGACGAGTGACTTAACGTCATTGGTGGGTTTCTATAATCATTGAAATCCAAGACAAATATTATCATGGCTCGAGATTCGAACAAAACAGTCATTACAGGGAGAAAAAATCACTTTGTTTTTTAGAATTTATTATTTTTTTTTGTTTAAAGAGAGTCTACATAAAAGTAGATGGACTGAACCTGTAAAATTGGAAATCATGAGGGATCACTTTTGTAAAATGATTTGCAAGGGTAAAAAGGGAAGGGTGAAAATAGTAATTTTGAGTCATATTACATTCTGACTCCTTGATACGATTTTGTTGTATTCAATGGCAGCCTCGCTGGACCACATGATTTTTCTTTTTCTGATTAATTATTATTCCTCTTACTTAATAAACAATAAAAATAAAGGAAATTAATAAAAAGAGGCGGGATTGTTTGTTTACTTCTTAATAGTTTCATTAAAAAACAATCTTTGAATCGTCAAGAGGTGAATTTTTTTTTGGCAAAAAAAAAAAAGTTTGTTTCTTAATGGTTTTAAAACCATCTGAATGATTTTGTATTTTGGATCTCATTAAAAGCCATAATCTCATTGTACACAATTACCAAACAATTATATTTCATTTTTCACTATATTATGAGAGTCTCTTAATCATTTTGATCACTTAATCATTTTGTACCAAACCATTCAGCAATTGCCAAACAGCCCCTCATTTACGGCGACCAAATTCGTCTCTTGGTTATTTTTCTTCAAAAATTTCTAAAATATAATTATCTTGTAGAGGTGCTGCTTGCGAACCTAAGTGAAAAGTGATTTTCGTTTTGTCTTTTAACTACCTCAGTAAGTTATGAATGTGCCACCTGAAGAGGTAGTGATATCTTGCAAATCTCTTGAGAGAAATGACTAAGGGGTCGTTTATTAAACACTTACCCATTAAGTGCTTACTAGTAAAATTTAACACTATTATGTATTTATCAGGTAAGATTTTAGTCCACCAAAACGATATAGCATACAACAATTTACCCGGTAAGCACTTACCGTGGTAAAAGTCATCACTCTCACTTATCGGGTAAGACTCTTGGTCCTTGTTTCGCTCTTACCGGGTAAGATTCTTGGTAATCGCTTACCCGGGTAAGCGTTTGGTAAACGGCCCCTAAGATATGAATCCGGTACCTGAAAATGGGTATTTCTCTTAATTTCCCTGAAAATAAATACTTCAAAATTGTTATTTAAGCAAAAATACCGATTATGGTCGATCTGAACCGACCTCACAAGGAACCTGTGTCGTACAAACCGCATGTCGAAAATATTTTAAAGCTGACTCAATGGATACTACTTAGGGCTGACAATGGGTAAGGATAAATCTAATACCATTATGTTTAACCCGTTGGATAAGGGTATGGGTAAAAAAATACCAATTTATCCACTTATATTTACCCATTACCCATTTATATATATATATATATATATACACACACACGCACACACACACACATACATACATACATACATATGATTATATAAAGTTAAATATTAATACATCTTTTAGAATGTTATTTTATACGTTGATATTAACAAGATTATTGCAGTTCAAAATATTCTTTTACCAATTATTCATTACCTGCTATCTTAATGGGTAAGGTATTGATATAGATAATCACCCGTTTTGTTACCAGCTATTTTTAACTGAATTGGATAATGGATTAACTTTTATCCTACCCGTTGCCAGACATAATATTACTATAGAGGTTCAAGCCCCATTTTCCACATGATTTGAACTTAAACTTGTATATTTAAACAAAGTCGTCAATTCCTTTGTCAACTAAATTAAATGTCCAAGATTAGACTGGTTTCGTGAGACCCGTGAGTCAATTTTTTTGTATTTGAAACTTCACAGAAAAACACTATGAAAATATAAAAAATCTGAACATTCATAGTTGTAAAGTTTCAAGTGCAAAATAATGGTTTTATGAACCCAGTCTGGTCTCACGTGATCCCAAGTCTTGAACTGAGAGTTTTTTTATTTTATTTTAAATTCACATAAATATATTGTAATTATTACAATAAATCTTGTAAGGAAATTACTATAATTGATTTAATATATCACTTAACAATTAAATATTTAATTGGAATTGGATTTTCCATAAAAATAAATATTTTATCAAACAATTTTAAGAAGATATAAATCTAAAATCACGTAAAATTATTTTTGGATAAAATTAGAAAGATTTATAATAATTTGGAAATTACAATAATTGATTTAAATATCTACAATACCATACTTTTAAACAATCGACAAATATTTATGTACGTAAACGTAGACAAATGATCGTGTAAGAAAAAAAAGTTATGATGAGAAGTATAATAAGAGATTTGAACCCTATGGTTGCCTTTTTAAACGAGATGGGTTCTTAATACAATCAAATATGCCCATGTTGTTGATTTATATAGAGACTAAAATCATTAAAAATAACTGTAACAATAAAATATTTTAGATTTTCTGGAATCTCATCTTAAAATTGATTTTTTTTTTGAATTATATAATATTTATATACGGTAAATAAAACAAATAAACTTATACATATTCATCACGTTTAGTAAGGTTTAAAATCCCTGATCTTGTAGGAGGTCAAAA